CACCAAAGGCCTGCGGATCGTGCGTCGCCTGCATATGATGTCTCTGCGTGCCCTGCGTGGAGTGGGAGAAATGTACTTGCAGGTTGGACTTGGATCTGGCTTATCAACAGGTCCGTCAAAAAGTTCGGGTAGCGCACAAATTTGCTTACTTGTTTCTTACTCTTTTTGTTTCATTAAGAAAACCATTAGACAAGTCTGATGAGAAACAGCTGGGACAGGTGGGACAGTGGGGGAGCCCTTTTTGACCTCTGAAACCACTTGGGGACAGCGTGGTCAGCTAGGACAGGGTTTTCGGAAGTTGGAAGATTTGAGATTCGGGTTGCCCATACCACCTTGAATACACCGAGACCTTCCTGCAATATCTGAGATAGCAAAAACGCTGTCCCAGCTGACCGCCCTGTCCTCGAGTGGTTTCAGAGGTCAAAACGGGCTCCCAGGCTGTCTTGGCCGTCCTACCTGTCCCCCACCAATCAGAGGCTGACACGTGGCGTCTCTAGACAGGCAGAACTTACATCTGCAGCAGTGGCAGCGTCCTCATGCCCCTGAGCCCGCGCAAATGCAGCGGTGTTCTTGTCGACCTGAACAGAGAACAACAAAGGCATATCTGGGCATGGGAGGATTCTTGGGGTGAGAGGGTCATAAGGAACCGCCATGGTGCCGAGAGGAGACATCCGAGACAGGGCGCTTAGGTGGGGGCAATGGACCTGCAGACGGTGTTGGGGCATCCTCGAGTGGCTGCAACTAGGTTCGAAGGCGATCAGAACCTGGCTGCAGTTTTTCTCAAGGCGTTCAGCGACGAGGGAAACGAGTTCCCGATCGACCTTGATGAAGTCTGGCGGTTTGTTGGGTACGCAAGTAAAGCTGACGGGATTCTCAAGCTAAAGCACGAAGGTTTTAAGGAAGGAGTCGATTACACGGTGAGAATAACTCGCACAGTTCGCAAACACTACATGACTGCCTTTGCCTTCGAGTCTTTCACCATGGTAGCAATGAGCGAGACATGCGACAACGTGCGGCTGTTCTTCCGAGCGTTCAGAGAAGGTTGTGACGAGGTAGCGCAAGAACTGCAGCGGAGCAAAGACAGGAAACAAGCGCAAATGATCGTGCAGAATTGGAACATGGAGGTCGAGAAGCGCTATCGAGAACAGATATACTCACAGATCAAGATGGAAAGATTCAAGCAGAGACAGTTGCGATGTATGCTAAAACAGATCCAGACAGACGCAGCAGGATATTTTGAGGAGTACAATATGTGAACGGGGGCAGAAGCCTCAGGATCGAAGAAGATTTGTGTTACATATCGTGAATAAGAATGCGCGTCCTCGCTTTTCATGCAATCCCCTTGACCAAGGGGTGAATTCCCTCATGCCTTTATGCGTGAAATCTGGATGACCCATACCACATCGAATGCAAAAAAGACATTTTCGCAATATCTGAGAGAGAGTGAAAGTGCTGTCCCAGCTGACCGCCCTGTCCCCGAGTGGTTTCGGAGGTCGAAAAGGGCTCCCTGGCTGTCCCAGCAGTCCCAGCTGTCCCGGCCAATCAGAGGCTGACACGTAGCACCTCTCGACAGGCAGAACTTACCTTTGCAGCAGTGGCCTGTGGAGAGGGGGATTCGTCCATGGATTGCCTCCTTGTGACCTGCATATATAATTGCTCACTTGTTTCTTACTGTTTTGTATCATTAAGAAAACCATCAGAGGACTATGATGAGAAACAGCTGGGACAGTGGGGGAGCCCTTTTTGAACTCTGAAACCACTTGGGGACAGCGTGGTCAGCTAGGACAGGGTTTTCGGAAGTTGGGAGATTTGAGATTTGAGTTGCCCATACCACCTTGAATGCACACCCACCCATACGAGAGCTTTTTTAAGAATCTGGCCCGACACCAAAACGCTGTCCCAGCTGACCACGCTGTCTCCGAGTCATTTGAGAGGTCAGAAAGGGTCTCCCGGCTGTCCCAGCTGTCCCGGCTGTTTGGCCTCATCAGATGCTGACACGTGGCACGTTCTCGCCTGCGGTGTGGTGGCCTCGAAGGAAAGAGCGTCCTCTGATTGCTGCTCTCGTGCACCCTGCGCAGCGGCATGGGCTGTGTCGGATTGCTTACTCATTGCTTGATACTTTTATATGATCAAGAGAAGCAGTAAGAGACTTTGACTAGAGACAGCTGGGACGGCTCGGACAGCCTGGTACCCCTTTTCGATTAAATAAATGAGTCGGGGACAGCATCGTCAGCGTGGACAGCACTTTCGAGAGTCTCAGAAAATAGAAAAAACGACCTCGTTTGTGAAACCACCCATACCACCCTGAATACACCCCCAAACTTTCTCTCGGAATCTTCCGAGGGCGCAAAACGCTGTCCCAGCTGACCGCGCTGTCCCCGAGTCGTTTTAGAGGTCAGAAAGGGTCCCCCGGCTGTCCCAGCCGTCCCGGCTGTCCCGACCTA